ACACTGGACAAGAGCAAAAACCTCAAAGTTGAAAATTATTCTGAAAAAAATAATCAGAAGACAGTTAATAAATTTTGATAATGAATCTTGCATTCACACTCCACAGGCTGTTCCATGTGAAAGTATTAATTAGATTTATACATGAACTACAGAAAAAAAATTTGAGGGGAACTGAACTGAGAATTGAAATAGCTGTTATACAATAAAAACTCAATAAGCAATGGAAATGTGAAATTAACAGCAGAACATTCTGAATAGCAAAGAATTAAAAATACATGTATAATGCAGTACGTTATAAGCCTCCTGGAAATCAAGTAATGCCTGCCATGAGAAAATCTCAACCAGCCATACAGACAGTTGATACAAACTGCTTTAGAACTGTCCATCTAAAAACAATATTCATTGTCTCTCAAATTCCATTACAGTATTAGATAGAACATACTAATGTATGGCAGCATGCCTGCTGCCAAGGGATTAGATCCATTTCACAATAACTACAAAGAAGAGAACTTTGAAGAACGATACTGAGTTGACAAGTACCGTGATAGCCTGCTTAGTATTTGTGTTTGCAGGGTTTATTTTATCAGAAGTGTCATTAACTCTGAGGTCTGGTTCTCCTACTGGCCTTTGGTATCTTTTGTTTTTCATTTGACTTTCAGACTCTGTCAGCAAATTCTCCTAACAACTGCAAGTCTCTATTGTTCAACACTAACACGCTCAAGTCCACTTATCATAAATGTTTTTAAAAATAGAAGGGAACATGACTGTTCTTCATTACTGTCATACTGTGTAGAGAAAAACAGCTTATTGTGGAAAAGAAAAAAAAAAATAGCCTCCATAGAGCATGTGAAAATTGTCAATTACACAACCAGTATGCATAAATTGGCTCTCACTTAGAGAAGGTACACAAGCTTCCCCTGTGAAGATAACAGACATTCAGTTTTTTCTTCAGCCTTTTAAAACTGGGAGAAGAAAAGGTTAGGAGTAGCCTGTCACTTCCTGCCTTTGAGCACTGAATTATTAATTTACACAAAATACTACATTAAAAATGCCATTAAAACAATCCAAAGCAGCACACTGATAGTTTAAAGGGGATGTTCATGCTTCAGTAGTCTGCCAAAACCAATACACGCTCTTTAAATGTAATTTAATTTTTTCTCATAGTTTTTTCTTCCACTTCCCGATTATCAAAGGTTTCTGTCGAGGTCTGTGTTTGGCAGACAGTTCATCCTCCTCTTTGTGCTAGCAACTGAGCAAAAATTATTTGGAGACCTCACAGGGCACTTGCAAGACAGCAGGGTAATGACCTCCACAAAAGTCTAACTCTACTGCAAGAACAGGTAGCCATAAAGCCAGGCAGCAAACAGCGAAGGCAAAAGGTCTTATCCACAGAAAGAACTCTTACCCACAGATCCTTGAAGCCAGGAAAATGAATAGGAAATATTACTAGTAGTGCACATTTTCTCACTGAAGTATTCTGTCTCTTCAAATCTGGGCCCCAGTGAAATTCTCCCATGTTTTCACTACATCCACTTTGATTTTCTACATTGGAAAGCAAGTGAGCTATTTTTCTTCAGTCTACAGCAATACATTAAACACAGAACTAATGCCAGAAAGGATAACCTCAGGATTTCAAGACCTCATCAATCACTTATATTGCACTCCCATCTCCAGTATGTATATTGCAGTCAAGTGGGCAACCACAGTCCCACGGAAGGACATACTTACTTTTTATTTTCCTTAAACAAAGACACAAGTCTCAGTGAAGGCAATTTTTATACCAACACAGGATTAGTTAATTTCAGACTGCAATGTCAAATATTCATTAAAAAAAAAAAGATTTGGCTGAGATAAAAAATAGCTGCAAAATTGGACCACATTAGCAAAAGATTCGTTTTGTTTCACCCAAATGAGAGAGGAGCACAGCATTCAAAACCATACAGGGAACAAAGAGATGATACTGTTGTTTCTATCCCTGTATGCTCTAGTCTGGTTAATAAAAATTGCCAAATGTAGGCATTATAACTGTCTGCCTAAACCTGATGGTGAGCCAAACCCAAGCACAGTGCTTCAGTGTGACTGTTCCTTTTCCTTGGGGAGCCTGTAAATCAGCAACAGAAGGCATTCAAAGGCAGACTAAAACTATCAATGTAATGCTAAGAGGAAGGACAGACAGATAAAAAAGAAATCCTCTGCATCCACTAGGAGTATCTTCATCATTACACTATGACAGTAAACCAGAAAAACGGTACCACCTCCGCTTTACCAGCATGTGTTCATTTTGGTTAAGATCCAAAACTATCTTCCCTATTTGTTGTCACTGTTAAAATTATCTGAAGTGAAAACAAGTTGTTTGTTTTCATGGCAACCATCCCCAGGTTCCAATCTGAGCTTTTTTCTTTTTTTAAATTACAGAAATTAACCCAAAAATTAGTTCTTCACATATTCCTGGCAGCAACTGGTTCAATTTTTCCCTCTTTATTAAGAAATCTCTACCACCACATTGAAAGTTTACCCAACAATTTTAAGTGAGGGCCTTCATTCAACACATGAGCCACTGAATGATGATGTCTCTTCTATTCTACATTCCACTGTTTTTAAACACTAAGAGTATGGCTTTTTTAGATCTACTGTGTTTCAGCATTTTTCAGCAAAAAAAAATTAGTGTTCCAGTACTGTATGTAATCACACACTGTATGAAATTACAAGGCTCTGATCTTTACAAACCAGTCTTAACATTTGTGGCATTTGGCAGTTATACAGCATTTTATATATTTAACGTATTTACTAGAGAAAAAATATTGATACTATAGATATTACTGCATATATTTACATGATACATATACTAGGTTATCAAACTGCCATTACAATTCAAGTAATTTTTGAGCTGAAGTAACTTCAGCATTTCTGCAAATCACACCTGAAAATAAAATGAAACATATTTAGTTTTCTTTGACTGAAAAAACCCCAGTCTATATTTCTGATCATAAAGGCAAGAGATATAAATTGAACATTAAAAAATGCTATCAGATGCAAAGAAATCACCTGAAATTTGATGGCCAGTGAACTCTGGTAGCTTCATGACCAGGTCTTTTTATCTGTTTAAAGCAGATACAGACAGTGCTTTGGACACTCTGTGTCTGCAGACTTCAAGAATAAAGACTGGCATTATGCCAGCTGACTGCACATCTGTCAGAGCAAGAAGTTAGGCAAAATGCAATTCTTTAATCCACATGAAAATTGTTCCTGCAGCCGCAGCTTCGAGAATTTCCACAGTATCTATGCTTTGAATCAAGATTTGAAGTATACCCAAAGAAGGCAGCTATCTTTACTTTAGGGATGTACCTTTATTTGCTCAAGGCTAAGGCTTTGAAAATAACAAAAAAAGCAAAAAAGCGTGGTTTGAACATGGTGAAAAGATACTTGAATTGGGCAGTCTATCAGCAATTTCACATGCACTGTGCATACTTAAGCAAGTGCTCCTTTGGACTGTTAAAGGGCTTTCAATATCAAAATGTAAAAGGAAAAAAGTGCACAAATATTCCTGATATCTCTTTCTCTCCCTTTTGTAGTTTCAGCCTTTTAGTGCTCCCACTGCTGGAGGCAGACAAAAAGATGAGTTTTATCTATTATGCTGAGATGTCTTTGAGAACGAGTGAAGATTTAATCGTTCTCCAGACCTGCAGGCAGAACCCAGGTTTCCTGCTCATCAATACCCTGCCCTTTGCAGGCACTGAAAGGACGTGTCAAGTTCTCCTTCACGAATACATCTAGAGTGCATTGTAAAGCATTTGAGTCACATTGTTTGTTAAGAGATGAAATATAAACTTTAGAAAAATGTGTGTCAGCAGTGCTGCTACAAAGGACTGAATAACTCTCTTGCTTGATGTGATGAACTGAGAATTTGGAATGCCTCTGAATTTGTAATATCAATTTTGTTTTGGCTGGCACAAATACAAGATGGGTGGAGGTTGGCCCCATATAAGCTGATGACTTGAATTTTGTCCAAAGAAAAAAAGCACATCTTATGGAAAACTGACTTAGGGAAAATGAAAGATGGAAGCTTTTTATAATTCTGAGCTTCCCTGGGGTTTTAATCTGGGAATCACATCGCATCAACACTTGCTGAATGCTCAGCATACCCGGCTTCTGGATACGTAATATATAAATTTGCAGACTGTCTTTTCAGTCCCACGACCAGTATCTAGATCATTCTTTGCTAGGAATTAGAATCATTATCACATGGCTTTTCAAGAAGGCTTTCAGTACTAAATTATTCTTCCATACTTGAGGAATGGATTTTATCAGCAGAAACTGCAGTAAAGCCTATGGAGAGTATACAGTCAGAGAGTATGTATGCCTGATTTCTCCTGATTTAAGTATTCAAATGAAAATGGAAGTTTTTCTCTCTTCTTTATCTCTGCTTAAGGATCACTCTTTTTCTATGGAAGGGTGCTTTTCAAAAGCAGAGTGTTTGGTGCATAAGTCAAGTACTCTACTTTTGAACAGAGACAAGATCAAGCTTTCGCAACTGTGTGGTCTATTATGGTTTGGTCCCTACCCTCACTCTCCTCACTCTCTTCAGATGTCATACAATACATTTATGAGTTTTGATAAGGGAGAAAGACATTTGAGTAGCAAAATCCTTTATCAAGTATGCTCCCTTCCCTCTCCTACCACATTTCTCAAGGCAGGGTGGTTTGACATCCAGGGTCACCATGAACATGTGACCTCCAGAAAAACACAGATTAACTTCTAGTGATCACAAAAACAAGGGTATAGTAAGCAGACTTTTTATGAACAAAGAATCCAACTGACTGTCTGAAGATCCAGTACCAATCTTAGGAAATTGATTCTGTAAGTCTTGCATTAATGTACAGGTTATGCAATGATCATTCTTTTCACAGTAACCTATATAAGTAGTGAACAAAAAAAACCCACCAAAAACTGTGGCTTCCAGTTCTTAATTTGTGCTAATGAGTGGAAAAAACTAAACTCACTTGCAGGAAATTTTTGTGCGATCCACCACCATGGTCCACTGCTGCTGATTTGTTGAAACCTCAATGTAGTAGCTGTAGCTCCGATCATCACAGTCCCAAAGTAGCAACCTACGTAAGAAGAAGTTTTTGAGTGGTAAGTTAAACAAACATCAAACCAACTTTAATTTTTCACAGCCCTTTATTTTCTTCACTTAATCCTTTCTAAATATAACTGTTTCTTTTGGAACGTACCTCTAACACTCAACAAAGTCTTCACTGTTTTTGCCATCTCAAACTACTATGACTCTATTCTTATTATCCTGAGGCCAGTAATAGACTCACAGGCTTATAATAACCAACTTATGAACATTAATCTATTACATTCATCCAATTACTTTTAATTGATTTGCCACTGCCTTTTTTAGACACGATGCAAAGATCTGTTTCAAAAAGTCAGTTTAGGAGAGGACAGGAAAAAAAGAATTAGGTGATCAAAAGGATTATTCTGCCTTCTTAATTGTATTTTAATGGTTTTGGAAAATATATCAGAAATATATTTAAAAAAAAAAAAAAAGAAAGTAAGAAAATTCCCAGTCCTAGTTCATCAGCAGAAGAAAAAGAAGGAAAAAAGGCAATAAATTGTTAAAAAATTGCTAAAAAAGCAGAAGAAAAAGAAAGACAATAGTTGTAACAAACATACAAACATGCACTCTTTCAGGAAGGGCTTTAAGTGACACTGAATAGCCTTTGATTTCCATACTTGTCTTACAGAGAAGAAGACCTAAAGCATCAGGGGTGGCATTTAGCTCAAGTGTTATCAAAAACCACATCTGGCAAATGTATCTTCTTTACTTTCCTTTATATGGGCATTATCTCCCTGTTGTAAGAGATATTTGGCCCAGACCTGGACACAGTATTCGAGGTACAGCCTCCCAACACCAAGTACAGAGAGAAACATCCGAGTTCAGGCCTTTCTTTTCAGCTTTTGAAATCCCAGTGTTAAAAATGGAATTAGGTCTAGTGGCCAAGCAGATTCAAAACAAATTCTCTAGGTGCCGAATGTAGGTCATTAATATTATCAGAAATAATATGCTGTCAAAAGCAGCTTTAAGAAGATAAATTAAAACACTTTCAACAACAGTCTTTTAGCACAATTGAATACTGTCTATTTGCAAATTAAAAAATTCAGAGCTGACTTAGTAAAAAACAGAGTTGTCCGTGTACCATGACAGTCTTAAAAAAACATCCCATATGCCAAAACAACCACTCAGATTCAACAGCTCTCCTTCATCTGATTATCCCCATTCCACTTTTCTACAGCTGAAAGGTCTCCACATACACTGAATGAAGTTTACTGATTACAATGCTCTATTTTGAAACTGCTACTAATCAACAGGTCCTGAATTATTTAACATTTATATTTTAACCAAGTCTTCTAAAATGATAAAAAGAGGAAAAATAAAAAACATTCATAAATTTGTTTTCCTTCAAAAAGTCTATCAAAATGTAGCTAATTATGCTTTTTGATAGAATCCTTTTTATCACGGTGACTCATTGCTGTTTCCTTGATCCATGTTTTCAAAGCTATGATCAAGACTTTGAATATCAGAAGCACACTGGTGACTGTAATTTCAACTAACAATAGTATAATTAAAACACAGCTGGCTTTGTTTTAAAGCAAAAGGTAACAGGACATATTTGCTCCTTTCAAAAATATATAATTGCTCTCTTCCAAATCAACCTAATCTCATTAAATAGGAGTAAAAATCATATGGTTTAGAATTATTACAAACCAAATAATGAATTAAAGTCAGCGGCATCTTTCCCAAAGTGACTTTGCATGAATGCTAAATGCAGATTTCTGTTTCTTTGATACTTCTGAAGGAAAATAAAAAGTTATTTCTTCTCTAGTAGCTTTTTAGGACAGACTCAGGATGCAGACTGACAGTAGATGTTATGTGGAATTTACTCTGCTTGAAATGCCTTTCTGGATAAGCAGTGAAATACTTTCAGGTGACACCTAGAATATTCACAAGGGGACATTGAGAACAAAGGCCACTTTTTATGCCAGGCACAACAATCTTTTCAACACATTACAAGCAAATTACCATGCTGAACTTTTTTAGCAAAGCTATCTTTTGCTAAGATGAATATTAAATGACAGGAAGGAGAATATTCCACTTAAAAATGAGAACTATACCCATTGGAAATGCATCTGTTTATGGCAAAATTTCCCATGTTCTTAGGACTTTCCATATTGAAATAAAAAGCTAAATTAGCTCATTAGGGTATCTTGCCCTCAAGATTGAGAAAGAAAAATTGAGTGAAGATTTATCCAGCTTACACCTTGCAACACTGAGATTTAAACATATTTCTGTTTTGGAGCCTAAGCCTGTGAATCATTTAATATTACATTGCTGTTTACATCACATGCTCACAATGCCTCACTTTATAAAATAAAAGCTTTTCAAATATGAATGAAACTTCACATTGCAGGCACAGGAAAATGATTATACTGGCTACCTGTTACAGAAAAAGAAAAACAATGCAGGACTTTTTTAAACAGTATGTCCCTAAATGTCATCTGTTGCTCTGTGATTGAAAGTTCTGTGTTTCTAAAAACATTTTCTGCTGTCTGTGCTTACTTTTTATTTTTAAATTCCTGTAAAAAGCATTGTCCCTGTTTAGTTCAGACTGCTGTATAACGACATACACTCAAGGTGTTAGCAGAAAACCAAATAATATTATCATGCACTTGACAGAATGACACCTGCTTCCTGAGTGGTTTAAGTCACTACAGAGAACATACAGATAAATATTTGACAGTACTGTGTTCATAAACCACTTGCATACTTGTAGAAACCCAAAAGACAGAAATTAAAACATGAAGTAGTGACATATCTTGAAAGAGAAAGAAAAAGAAAGAAAACCCTTCCACATGAAAGGAGGATTTTTTATACAATTGTTGCTGCATTTTTACCTCTGGTTGTCTATAAATCCCTTCAATTTTCTGCAGATATTTATGTTTCAGTAGTTACCCTGCAAGAAACCTTCTTTCTTCCTACAAAGAAGACAAAATTTCTGCGTATTTTCTAAGTGTTCCTATGATCATTCATTCTGAGTCATGATTTTACTCTCAAGTCAGGCAAGCACAGAAAATGAGCAGCAAAGAAAGAAAAGCTTCATAAGTGGAAGTGGTATGGAAAATCAGAAAGCATAAGAGATGTATATGATGATGGTATAAGCAAACAGAAAATACATTCAAGTTCACTGATGCTGTTTGTTAATTTACTGTGGATTACTGTGAATATAAAAAGCTATTGATTTCATATGAGAATCAAAGTCTTCAAAAAGATTAAGTTGGATAAGTAGTTCATGTACTTTTCTAAAGACATATTTTTTGTCTTCCTATTTATTCTAACATGAAAATCACTATGGCATAGATTTCCATCTCTACCACATACACTCCAACAATTTTATTTTTTTTTAATTTATAAGAAAAATCATGCAAAGACCGTAGCATAATAGTACTCTATTTCTATTCCAGATAAATGCAGGGAGAATTAGACAGAAAGTTATTGTGATAGGGCAGCTGCTGCAATATTCACATTTTAGCCATTTAAAAATTAAATTGTGTTTACTATGTTACACACACCAGTTGCTTTCTTTCTGTTCCTAATTAAACACTACAAATACAATATAGCATTCTGTCACTGAATATGGGTCCTTTCAGGGACAAAACGGAATCAGATATTTTGTGTCCAGACAGGCAACTACATGGGAAAAAACACCTAAATTAACAATTACTCTTCTGTTAACTCTTCTGAGAGCTAATAAAAAAATAAAACTCTTAAATATTTTTTAAAATTTCATGATGTAAAAGACCATATTTAGTAACAACTGTTAAAAAAAACTCCATAGAATCATAGAATAGTTTGGATTGAAAGGGATGGGTTGAAATCTCCATGTTTTCCATGTCTCTTCTATTAGAAAATAGTATTAAGTACTGATTGTCATTAGACCTCTTTCAAAAATTCTCAGTAAATTTTGATGTGGAAGTCAAGGGCTCCAAATTTATATACAAATAGAAGAAGTATTCTATATTAACAAAGTTTCAATGAGGTCTCCCATGGAATTTCTGAGTCAAATTGAACAGATGTCATTAGTTGCCTCTGTGCCTTCTCAGCAATGAAGGCCACAAACATATGGAGCTGAAGTAACAGCAACTGAGCCAACAAAACAATGGAAAGAGATTATTGTTCTGTACCTGACACTTGTTAGATCATGCCTCGGATACTGAATCCCTTTTTGGATCCAAATAGAACATTGATACATCTCAGCAATTCCAGCAGAGGACCATCAAAATGTTCATCAGGTTGAAGCACACACCCTGTGCAAGAGACTGGGGAAGCTGGCTTGCTCAGCCTAAGGAGGCTTGGGGTTGGGGAGGAACCTAACAGCACTTGTCAGTATCTGAGAACAGGATATCGCAGGCGACACAGAAAAGATTTAGAATTTCCTGCCTTTGAAATTTTTAAGACCTGATTTTCTAAAGCCTTGATTAGGATGGTCTTTTTTCATAACTGACCCTCCTTTGAGGAACAGCCTGATGCTAGGTGCTTCTTCCTCAAGTCCCTTTCAACCTAAGGGTGCTAAGATTCTTAGACATTGGAATGACTTTGGCAGAAAGCACGCATACAATATATATTCCTGAAACATTCAACTCTCTGCATTTCTAAGGCATATCTGAACACCAATAGTTCTTCTGTTTTTTTTCCATACTCAGAATCTAGTTGCCATGGTAACATTATGTCTTGGAGGCTCTCTCCAGTGATATTCCCATTTCTAAAGACTAAAAGCAGCTACTACCTTTTTTCAAAGGTTTATATATTTACCCCCTCTGAAATAAATATATTCAATGGCACATGTGTTTCTGAACTAAAAAGATACATACTTTAATTCCTAATCATTGATTTAAAATCCAAGCCCATGAGTATAATGACTCAGTTTCTGAGGGTAGCAGAATTAATGTCATTCTGTAGTCATGGTGTACTGCCAGCAAGCAAACACTCCTAGAATTTTTTTCTATTAGGTGGGAGCATGAGATTGAGGGAGTTTTCAAACAAGCAAACAGCAGGAAAACAGGCAGTGAATACAGTTCCATCATTTTTGGCAGACATTCTGTTAACAAAAAAATTTTCCTGCTTCCATAAAGATGAAATACTAAGACTTTTGCTGTCATCTATGTTTACATATTATTTGATTCCTGTACAAAACATAGGTTTCCTGATGCTGAATAAAGAGACCATTGTCACCATCTTTAGCACAGCATAATACAGAACATGTTCCAGACCCTTGCCAAAGCTGTAGATGCCACAGAGCGAAACTTCACTTCCCCACTCCAAGGAGCAGCTTCCTTTGGTTACCTGTGACCCGCAGTAGACATGGCTAAAACTCAAAAAACTTGTTCTTCTAGGCAGTACACAAGAAAGGAAAAATGACATGCTGCTAGCATTTCTGTCTCTAGGCAATGCAGGTAGTCTCCCCTGTCAGAAGATACCCCAGACTATGATGTTTAATAGCTTACTTTACAAAAATAACAATAATAATCTTGTTTGCACTATACATGCAGGGAAACTGACAAAGAAAGATGAGATTCTGAACCTGTAGCTGAACAATTCAATACCACATAAATCACTAAATGCCTATTAGTTTTGAATTATGTAATGTTTGGTTATTTTTTTAAATTTGCTTTACACACTTACTGATTACACAGTTATTACTTCTTGGCAACCAAGGTTTAATTCACCTAACACACCATTTAATAAAAAGACTTATTAAAAATCTGCACAAAAATAAACAACAGCATAGCATTTATTATGGGAAATTCAGTTTTTTTCACTAACTGGAAAAAGACAGTACAATGCATCAATGGAAGGATATACAACTGAAGGATATCAGAAAACAGTAAGATAGGAAGACAGAGGAACTGAGAAACTACCCATTTTAGTTAATATATTCTTCTCTTAATCTTTTATATGGCCAAAGCCTCACTGCTAAAAACTGCTACTTAAGTTTAAAGTGTCATGAAAATGCTGGCACTACATTTTCATTTAGCAATTTAAAGAAATCTGAGTACTGCTTGGTTTTCTACTTGATATACAATATTTAATAGAATATTATAACACCAAACTCAAATGAGTGGGGAAAGTTGCCAACCACACTTACTCAACTTGTTTCACACAGTGAGAACAATGCCGGACTTGCATTATGCATAACATCTACAGCTTGCATAACACACTAAACACTGCTTTTGTTGGGTCAGGGATTTTCCTGCATGTCTGATGTCAAACTCTGAAGACAGAGTTTTACAACCATCATAACAATGCCATAGGCCAAAACCAAACCACACAAAACAGAAACTGGCAATTGTAAGAGCTTTCAAGTCTCACTTGGCAGCTCTTAACAAGGGGAACACACTGAGCTCCTAGAAATACGTATCTATGTACATGGTCTCTGTTGCAAGCCAGTACTCACCTGGGATTTTAGCCTTTGATCACTGGTACTCTGAACTTCAGAAATCTTTATTTCTCTGTCACAGAGCATACAAATTAAGTCCCTGACTACATAGTCTAAATTTACAAAGACCATTATCCCATTAAGACAAGGTTTTGTATGCCTGATTTTATGAAACAAACACCCCAAACATTTATAGTTAGAGAATCTCAAGTTGGCAAGAATATTTTTCTTTTCACCTGTAAAAAATTTGTCTCTCCTATCTATTTCCTAAGTCTCTACATCAGCCAAGATTTTCATCTTCATATGTATACACACATTTACAGTAGAAACAGCCCAATGAACTTCAATCCAAAGCTAAACACATTCATTAATCTAGCCTTGTAAATCAATATTCAGGTTGCTGTACCTTTATTACACCCTCCACGTTTAAGTAAAAACCAGCACTAATTGTATAGTGAAAGGAAGCCTGGCTGACTTGACATGATGATTTTCTTTAAGAAAATTGTTTTCAGAATTAAGTGGATAACAGTAACTGCACCTACTTAACCATAAGTGAGACTGCAATTAAATTCTATTTTAAAATAAGTATATAACTTTAATCTTATAATTTGACTGTTACTACTATTATGCCTCTGAAAAGTATTATTTTCTGAAATCGCACTCTGTACCTCAACATATAATTCGCACATTTAATTTTTAACATCCTGTTATACTGAAGTAAGAAGCCAAATGACAACTACTAAACTAGCTCCCTAATTAATGTCATTTCAAATGTCACACATTCTAAAGAAAATAACTGCTCAGCAAAAATTTCAGTGTGGCCCCTAATTTAGAGAAAAATAAATCCTCCTACCGTATTGATCCAATCATGTAGGGCTGTGCCAGCTGCACCACAATAGCTCCGCTCCCAAGCTGGTGGCATGTGTATCCAGAATCCCAATCATAGTTTTTTGTGTCTCCATTCAATAAGGCATTGCGACTGCGACTTACACCCTCGATCACACTGGCACAGTCTGCAATTGTTGCAACATTTTCAGTGGGAACTATAAATTAAAAACACAGAGATGACAGACATACAGTCAGAAAACAATTCAGATGCCAGTGGTCTTTATTTCTGGAGAAGAACTGGTAAAAAAAAAAAAAAGAAAACATGATCAACAAAAGGAAATTTAATTCACATAAAATGAACTACGAACAAGTGATGAACAAATGGTACAGATAGTTTTTACAGCACTGATTCCAGAATAGCTTGGTAAATTAACAGATGGATTTCAGTATTGGTGATATGAGAGCACTCTTTTAACACAATTGCAAAAAAACATCTTGTCCAGCAAAACTTTAGAAATTTTGAAATAATTTCTTCCTGTTTTCATGATGAAACCTCCCTCTACTACAACATCTGAAAATGGCAAGAACACAGCTATGAGAATTCCAGAGATAATTGTATGCAAAAAAAGAGAATTTTCCATGAAGAGCTAGGATTTTGTGATTTCACTGTGCTACTGGTGTCAGAAGCATAATATTAAGAAAGCCACTACCCACCAAAACACCTTAAAACACATATGGAAAGAAACTGCAAGATCATTGCCAAGTAGTAATCCAAGGCAGTGGAAAAGCAACCAGCTCTGGAAAAGCTACTGCATTACCAAATGTACTATCATCTCTGTCTTCTCATAAAAAATTACTAAAACCACCACTTTACTATTCTAAAAATCTCCTGATTCCCTTACTACTGAAAAGAGGCACTCAATTCCCAGATTCTTATGAGGGAGCAGGTGTTAGACATTAGAAGTACTTCACTTGGAACAATCTGAATAAAGCAAAGTCTAACACTGCAAACTAAGAGTACTGGCATTGAATTAAAATTTGTCTTGACTTCCTTTTCTTCCTCTCCTCCCTGGGAATAAAGTAACTTATTTGTCTATTCATTTTATATAGGCTTTAAAGCATCTTCTACACAGAGCTGGTTCTTTTTTTTTTTTTTTTTAATAGGATGAGGAAGGTATTGCCATCTTGGTAAAATAGTAAATGATTAAAAGACAGAGTCAAAATCAATGCCCATATTGAGGCTCCATGGCATATTCCAGACACACTCTGAGCTATCTAAGTGATTAATTAAATGCAGTGCAGCTCAGTTCATGCAATATTTTGCCTGTGTGCCCTCTGAGCATCATCCTGCTCCTTCTCACATTTAGATTTCTGCACTAATTCAGGACCCTCCTAAGAAGATGTTACCCTGATTAGTTAAAACTCCTTAAGAACTGTACAGAAACTGTCTTGGTGTGTTTTTAACATAATTCTGTGGTCTTCCCTACAACAGCTAATTAGAAAGTGACTCTGACTAATTCAAGTGTGCAGAATATGCCATCCTGTCCCTTTTCCCTAGGGGGTCTGCCACTCCCTATTTTGAATGTTCATTATCATCTTTTATATACACTTGATAAATTTATTAAAAGTACCATCTGGTGGGGACTCGGTTCTGTATTTTCAAGTATTTTTATTGTCTTTCTTTCTCCCATTAGAATATCTGCTTCCATTTAGGTCACTTATTTACAAATACAAACTGTCAAAACCAACAGTCTTGTTTCTATTTTTGTTTCCTTTTTTTTTTTTTAATCCACCAGCTATCCAGCTCTTACAGTAACCAATATTGTCAGAGAAAAGAAAAGAGAAGATTACAAATATAATTTTTTTCCCCCCCCACTGTTCGTACAACAGTTTTGGGCTGAAAAGTCTGATTTGCTTCTAAGGAACAGAAAAGACGTGTGTTAGCAAAGCAAACACATTCTGTAAGCAAACAAAAGGAGAAGATGATTGAGGTTACAGGACAGCAGCATCAAACATTTATTAAAACTTACTTTCTTGTCTCTTTGCCTTATGCTGCAGTATGGAGCGATGAAGAACTGGCAGTATATATAACTCTAGCAATGGTATTTTTATAAAGGATTGCAATTTTCAAGACATGGCCTAAGGGTCATCTATACTGACTATATTTAAAGATAAGACAGATATGTTGTTCAACTTTCCTTAGAGATCTTCCAAGATAAAAATGTACCAGAAGTGTGTCGTAACCTCAGTCATATTTATCACTCCTTAAGCTTGTTTCTCTTACTTTGTCTTTTTAGCATACTTGGTTTTTCAAAAGAATTTTTATTTTTCCTGAAGCACGCTGAAAAAAAAGTTAACGCTGATGCTGCCAAGTGGCTTCCATATCTGAGTATAGACTACTTCCTTTCATCTCTCATTCTGGACAGGCCAGCTTTTGCTTTCTATCCATCCACTGTGACTTCACTACAATGTGGATGAGTGGGGAAATGAAAGAAAATCCTCAAATAACTTCTTGCAGCACAGAAAGGAACAGAAGTAAGTGGGTATTTGTATTGGTTTACATAACCAGCCATCAATAAACCTTAAATAAATTATGAAAACGAACATACAGGGAGATGGCAGATCTACTACACAGTCTTATTTTCTAGGAAAACAGCAATTTAAAGCATTATGGGCTGTAGAATATATTTAAACTGCTCTCTAGGCAATAGTCAAAAGCCCCCTGCTTATGTGTCATCATTGCAACAAAACTGTTCATTTTAGGGAATTCTCTTAAGATGCTTACAAAACTATCATTGTGAAGAAACTATAAACAAGAAATTACATTAGAAGAAATATATTTTTGTTTTAGTTAGTATGAAGGAGTAATTTTACTCTCATGATTATATCAGTTAAATATTCAGCTTCCAATTGCTCAACTTTTAACTACAAAATTGCATTCCTTCTCTACTTGAACATCTACTAACCTGACAAAAGTTTCCTTCCTGGCTGGTTGGAAAATAGAAAGCTGAGACTAAATAAAAAGAGAATTAAGTACATAAGGATTATTTCAGAGTTTGATCATATCGTATTAAAGAATTAAAGGGGTATTAGGCATTTTGCTCTCATTATTTTCCACATGCCAAAAGATTTTTTAAGTCTAATCTTTATTCCATATATGAATTAGCCCTTGTTTATTTGCTACATGGTAGAAAAAATAAGAAATCTACAGACTTTTCAATCAATAAGAAGTACAGCCAAATGTCCTGTCTTTCATTCCATATACTCTTTGTTATTTTCTTGAGTTGAAACTTGCTGATGAAATTACTAGATTTAATTTGAATCTTCAATTAAATTATTCAAAGAAATCAAGAGCTAAAAAAACATCAACTTCAAACAAATATCAACAGTATTTTCACCTATTTCAGTGAAAAGCCTTCTGCAAGCCATATTTATCTGGAAAAGAAAACCTCACTAATATATGTTTTTGTCCAACTGTCAGAAATTGTATTAGAAAAACTTCAGAGAAGGCTGATTTTTCACTTGATACCTGCTACACTTTGCGATTCCTAATCCAATAAATTAGAACAAAACCATTAAAGTCACTAGAACTGGCCATACTTTTCATTGCCAACTAATTGGCTGCTACAGGGCTCTTTCATTAAACATTGTGTCTGCAGAGGGCTGTCAGAAATATCAGTTGTTTTAGGAAGTATGCATCCCTCTTTGTGGTACTGGAGATAGACAGGAAAGGATTTAAAAAGAAAAAAAAAAGAACTGGAACCATATGAACAGATCTCTCTCAAAACCAACCATGTGGCTGTCCTTTCTTACAGAAAGGGGAAAAAAATTCCTGCAGTATTTAGATTGTCTTCAATTTTTCATAATTTCCTAAAGCTATGTCTGCAGCCGAGCTGAATTATACTGCTGGGTAAGCCTGCATTGTTTCGGAAAAAATGTGACCCTTTTCAAAAGGGAAAAAGCAAAATATGATAGCTTTGTATGGAGTCAACATTAAACTAGACAAAACCCAGCATCTTTCACTGCTTCCTTGGGGAGAGACAAAGCAATCTTTTACAAAGCTGAACCACGCACTAGGCAACTGATATGACTGGTTTCTCCCTGTTACACATTCAGTTTTATTTGTTCTTTTTCTAAATAACTGCCAGAGTAAAAGACAAGTGAATATTTATTTGTATCATTCTATCCCTTTTAAAACAAGTTCTCCTAAGGCATTGAGCAGCACACAAATGAAGGTTCATAATGATTCGTAAGAACTGAACAGCATTCCTCAGAGGGTGACCAAGGACATTCCAGTGTTTTTACATCTGTCTTCTGCTCTTCAGTCATTATTCACTGTTCTCTTATTCATGTCTATTGTACACATTGCAAGACAGTCTGATAGACTGAGACAGACTACTGACCAACACTGATATGTGGAAAAACCATCACCATTGCACTCCCGATGCCCTTCACCAGGCTCAAAACCAGAAAGAATGTTGGTAAAGCCCACAAAATCCTTGACTGCCCCTCAGCACTGAGTATTGATTAAAGGACACTGAGGTTATAATTTTTTTTTTTTCCATTTGAGGCAGAAAAAAGGAATTTTTCCTCCTACTAAGGTGGGAAAGAAAATTCCCAAAAACCTAAAGAGGCCTTGCACAGAAGCAGTCCTTTAACTGCCGTTGTAACTTCTTGCCACTGGGCAGATTAGAACATTGTACAATACATTGCATGACACCAGGTACTGCTTCCAAAGCAGTATGTTTCTTTCTTGTGAAAATATTCTTTTGTTTTGAATTCTAGATTAAATATTAATGGCTAAAGACCATTCAAAATTTCATAAGCAGAAGCTCATAATAAGCAAGCACTATGATTGTGAGATTAAAGAATATTTGCATCCTTGTTAAACGAAAGAGTTATGTTAATACCATGAATTTGATATGGAAAACTGTTAACTTGCACATTTAGAGATAATACTATGCCAAAAAGAAAAATACATCTCAACCCTAACATCTGCGTTAGGGAAATAATTTCATATGATTACATTCCTTTCTGTCACCTCATTTCACAAGACAACAAACTGTAAACCAACACTTAAACACCAGACAGTGCTATAAAGAGCATTTTCTGCTACTTTTGCTTCAAAACTGCTACTCAGCTACCATTGGGTCATGTCAGTATGACATCCAGTATTATACAAAGTAACTGTACAAATCACCATCCACATTGACTTTTAATTGCAGTATGTCAAGTTAGTAATCTTTCATTAAAACCTTGTACACAAAAACACAACAACATAAAATTGCTGTAATAATGAAACAGCACTTCATTTGTATTATTTGTTTACCAGCCCTCTAATCTTCACTGTATGGTGACAGCCATCACATAGATATTATGTACCAGTAGTAATAGATCTGATAAATTACGCTCTTTGCATATACTCAACTCTTTGCAAGGTGAGTATCTTTCACAAAAATTAAATAAATAGTTTCTCAAGTCTCTACATAACATCTCTAACCAAATACCTCAGAGGCCTCATTTCTTTGGAATGAGTTTTCAAATGACAAATCTTCACATCTTATCTTCAGTGTTGTTTTGGTAGAAGTAGGGGTCACTACATCTTTTTGAAAGGGAAAGGACCTTATGGTCTTCAAGGGCTGACCAAAGGACCTTATGGCCTTCAAGGGCTGACCAGTAATACTTCATTTTTTTTGATAAAACAGGGTATAGAAACAGCAGCTGTGTTTGTTCTAACCTAATTTAATACCACATTTAATATCATATGGGATAAGCAATGAACCCAATGAACTGCTTTTCAAGGGTTTAAGATGGAAGTTTCTCTACTCAGTCAAGCTTAAAAGCAATCTACTCTGATTACTGCACTTTCATATATTTTGTTGATTTTTCCTAACTGCTTTCAATTCACTTTATCCTATCTGGTCATTTCAGAAGCAGAAACAAACATTACAAATCCTCATCACAGTAATAAAATAAATCTGTGCCAACCCACTGGCACTCATACTGAGTTTTTACACAGATGGACCTTGGACTTACAGTCTGCTTGATTGCAGGAGCCATACAATATGGCACCTTATGGTAATCATCACACTGAAAAAAGGCATTGGATAGATATAATATCTCTTTGCTGGATCAAAGCTGCTGAGAATATTTTTGAATAGGCAATACTGATGGCCAAAAATTCTGATGGAACAGTCATAGGTGTCTTTGCTCCATTTCACAACTGGACAGACCTCAACTAGTCCCCAGATCTTTCCATTTCTATCTTTCTCACCATAAACTCTGCAGGGTCATGTATACAACTGCTGGTGCCTCACTGACAGTTGGAAGACTATCCACATCCCACTTTCAATTAACTACTCCCCAAATTCTTACTTTTAACTTTCTACCAACTGTATTGACTAATATCCCTTAAATATAAAAAGCCATGTAAACTACAGGCCCCTCTCTTTCCTTACTGTTGATCACTTCAAATGACTTACACACACAACAGCTTGACTGACCCACACTGAAGAACAGCAAAGCTGCCCTTGATTAACAACCACCATTAACACCAGAAACCCTCACTATTATGCTGCCCAAACCCTATTTACCTGTAAGATTCTACAAAACCATTCTCACAAACTGAAAATTTTTAATAAAGCCATATAAAGCCCCCATCCTCTAGATTACCTTTGAAACTTAAGAAGTGTTAAAATAGATCAAATAGTTTATCTCACCAGAATGATCACCCAACCAGTAAAAATAATTGAGTCTATGAAAGATGAATCACTTTCAGTATAAGTTCACTTATACAAACATGCACGGATTTACTGCCTTATGATCAAACAATCTTTGTGTTAACACAAAATTATTTAAGTCCAAAATTCAGCATTTATTAAATAAGTTTGATCATCTGAAATCAAATACATACAAATGTTTGTACACACTAACTGGATTTTGTATGAAGTTTTTAAAAATTCATAGCTGGCAGTGCTAACTATGAAATTTAGCTCAAAGGTTTTATCACATCTGAGATACTTTGTTTCTCTGTTGACTAGCTAACTCAAGGGAGATGTTTTCTTTTAACACAGTTCTTCCTTACTGTTTATTCTATTTTGAAATCAATAGCAATTGCAATGCTACTTGCACACTACCTAAAACAAAGGCTTTTGATTTGCCTTCGTATAATGCATGCAGAACAGGCTGGAGGAATTGGGTCTTGGTTTTTCACTGCTAAATATTATAGTTTTCTCAGTGAAAAATTTAAAGTGAATATGTCTTACTAAAAATCTTCTTTCTCATTCTATTTTGCAAACTTTTTCCCTTCCATCTGTATTGGGTACATATTTAAAATTTAAATATACGTTTAAAACCAGCATGAACTCTGAGAATTTTGCTGAAATTCTTGATTTTATGCTGTAAGTAATAAACTGTGGGAAATCCCACCTAGACAGCTACTAAATACTTTCTCTCCAATGAACTTCAGGATCTGACTTTTATGAGTTTATATGGAAGAAAGCACAGAAACCACCTCATTTTAACTATTAAAAAAAAAATCGATATTAAGTCTTTCTGCGACACATGTTACCATGCAGTACCGTTGCTCTGTAGGGGATTTCTATCTTAAGTAACATAAAGGTACTTAAATCAGTGTTATATAAGCTGCCCAGAGCTAAGACAGCTCCATCAGCATGGTGTTCTGAGAATAATAGCAGTATAACTGATATAATGTTCTGCCATGGCTAAGCATGTCTATGACTCTTTGGGGGGAAATGAACACATGAGAGTTTACTTTCAGCAGTTATAACCAAGCTGTATAAGGCCCTAAATGTCCAAATCCATCATCACTACAATAAATAGCTGTGCTTAGTCCATTCTTGCCTACTGGGAGGCATGAGCAACTGTACTGTGACATGCAAAGAAAAATAACATTGCCAGCACTGACTGACTCAGCTACAAGTTGCTTTGTCAGCAGCGGCTGATTTGAATTTCAGCATTCCTGCAGCATCATTAATTAACCCACAGTACTGGAATCTCATAGAAGTTGTAAGGACTAGCCAATTAATTCTATGCTTACAACATTGTTTAACTCAATTTAGAGATTTCTGGAAACAGAAGTAGTGTGCAGTAATGGCCAGCTTTAAAAGACAAGTGTTTACAACAGTTTATAAAAAAGGAAAATGGTTTTATGTCTTACCTATCAGACCTTTCTCAAGAGTAAAGGATTTGTTCGTGAACATGCATTCAAATGCCACAATATGGAAAACTTTGTTCACTGTATTGTGGGTCCCAACAATTCGAATATACCTATAGGGAAACAAAAAAAGATAAACAGCACAAGTTAAACATGACCAACTTCTGTGCACTTAAATATAGATTCAGTTAGACTATAACGTGCAGACCCATAAGAACTGAGTGACTGTTTAAAAAAAAGAAAAAGAAGTAAACAAGAATATCAATTTCATAGCAGTTTGCATCTAGTCCAGCATTTCATGCTGGCTCCAGTGCAATTTAAGAAGAAAAAAAAATCTTTAAAGAGATATGGAATCTGTTGAAAATGTTTCTAAATAAATTTGCCAAGAAAAGAAAAATTAGGGACCTTCTGTTTCAGAAATGGTCTGTTAGTGCAAATATGTGTTCATGGAGGTTTTAAATACTGCTACTACTAATGACAGTAATAATAATAGCAAGAACAACAGTAATAATCATCCTTTTACCAACAAATTTTCAGCACTGCGAAAGATTTCATACAGCCAGGACAAACTCAAAAAAACGAGTCAAGCTTTTCTTCCAAAGCCAAAAATCAATTCCATTTTATTAAGACTGTTTCTAATTCTAACACTGGATGTACACGATAGCAATCTATGTTGGTGTATGTTTTACTAATACTGAAAAAAACCCTCATTCAAATATTATGAAACCAAGCTATTCTGGGTTTCTTGGTGGTAGCTCACATTTCCACACTCCAATTGCAAATCAAATAGAGCTGCTCTCAAACATTGTGACCTATTCACCCCTGCTGCATCACCTTGGAGGCTTCACCTTCCATAAACAACCACTAACATTGATTCAGTCTGATTCTGCATTTTCTGAAGAGATCCAACAGTTCTTACTATAAATTTTGAAAAATCTCAAAAGGACTATTGTACACCTCTCAATAAATGCTGAGCAAGCAACCAGAAAACTACCTAAACCAAATACCAATTACTTCACAAGATGCGTTACCCATACAGAAAGCTTTGTATGAATTTAACTCATTTCAATCACCAACTATCAGAATGTATGAATCTTAAGCAATATCCTTGGTCTGTCTCTCATTTACATGGTATAATTATATTTCTAACATAATGGCCATTCATCAACAGCATCATTTTGGCTTGTGTTCTCCATCAGATCAAGTTGAGAAGACGCACAGTATGTTTTCTGAGATTTTCTTTTTAAACAATAAAACAACCATCATAGCTATTTACTGTGCTAATGCTCAATCTCCAAATTTCACTTAGAAATTATTTTAATAACTTGGAACAAACAATTGTATGCTATTGCCTAATTAATATTAACTCACACATCAATCAACTATCACAGTAGCCAATGTCCTGAAAGTCATTCTATGCAGAAAAAATAAAGTTGCAGGAGTGTAGAAAATATTTATTATTCATAAAGAAGATGAACCTGTGTTTTAAGACTAAAGCAAAACTTAGCCCTTACGCTGTAGCTGTGCCAAGTGCCTGTAAAGAGCATCGCAGGAATCTTGGCAGACAGGCAGGCAAACAGGAGGTGTTTCCCCAGACCTGCCTGTGTGAACCAGCTGACTTTCTTTTTATGAACTCACGACCACAGTCCGAACCCTAAAAACACAGGGAATGTCCAAAATTCTACAATGGTAACTGATCTTGTTCCCTCCAACCTCAGAAGCACAGAATTCCATTAAACGCAGGAATAATTTTGGAATATTTTGAAGTGCACATGGAGCCTGGCTTGCCATAGACACTCCCTTGACTCTCCCAGGCAAGAAAGATATTGATTGAGTTGCGCTGCTTGGACAAAATGCACAGGCAAACCACCAGAGTGTTACTAATGGAGATGTACTTTGACATCCTTCAGTTACGCTTCCTTGCATTAAAGAGCTTAGAGAATAAACAAAGTAACAAGATTAATAGGAACACAAGAAACTGCTTCATAATTAGCTTTAAAAGCTAATTTACTTAGATTTTTTTGTGTTATAAAATTGTATCATTAGAGCAAACTTCTTGATTGTTTGTTCAGAGCAATTGGAAGTTGTTCAAATTCCTATCAGCAACAAAGCAGGTTCACATGACACAAAGTTATCTGTGAATCTTTGTGTGATTGCAGAGTAAAAGAATCACAGTCCAATGCCTAGACTAGCTCCACTGTTGATGGGCTTTAGACTCAACTGCTAAGACTGGAAAACAGGAAAAAAACCCTGAATCATTCTCTAAAGAGAAAACCTTGATCAGTTTGTGGGGTTTAAATGAACTTCCCTAGCAGGTAAACAGGAATGCAACATGAAAATTTTGCCCCTTACTTTTATTTTCTGGCCCTTTTGGAGAATGATGGATACTCATATAAGTGCTCGAGAGTTTCATTCACACGTCACAGACTTCTCTAGCCACACAGAGTCAAGCTACACATGACCTTAAAATCCTCACAACAGGAATATCAACCAGAAAAATCTGATTGGTGGGGTTCTTTTTCCCACTACCAAGAAAATTGTTTTGACTATAGGGAAACAGCATGTTCTACTGGATCTTGGTAGAATTCTAAACAACTGAAATTTGAATGGACTACCTGGGTTGATTAATTAGGCACCTACATGGCAACATCTCTCATTCATCCCCTATTTTTCCCAGAGCAATTCTTCTCCTTCATATGAAATTACCATATTTGTACTCTGATGTGAGAAGATATCTAAACAACTAAATTATGTTTTATTTCTGCTCTTTACACTTGTAAAGCTGACACACATAATTCAGATAACAGCTGCTGCAGATCACACCACTGATTCTGCTGTGGATACCCTAGAGGACCACAAACACCAAAACTCAGCTGCCTACATCATCACAGCACTGCTTAGGAAATATGTGTCAAAGCACGAAAATATGCATACTCTAGGAGTCATTTAATCCTTCATTATAATAACAGCAGTAAGATACAGAAAAACAAATATATTAAACACAAATTCCAATCCCTTGAGAATATTGAGACAGAAGACTAAATAAGGGGAAGGAATGGAAATTAACATGTATTTTGCACTGATACCCACTCTTCAGCTACTATCAAAGCAACCTAAAATAGCAACAGCAAACTTGAAGAACTAAATCTAATATGTACAAAATGTGCTCTTATGAAATTGGCATTTCATCTTCCTTTGTGGAGCATTTGGTATGAGACACCAGTGCCAGAATTACTACATACTTTATACCTCCTCTAACTGCTTAGAACCACTGACATTCACATTCCAATCACTGCCACAAAGATGCGTGAGGCACAGCCCAACACACAAGGGCATTAGAAGACATTGTGTTTGTTTTTCAGTGGAAAAGGAAACAGTGTTATTCAACACCGTCTAAACTCCATTTATTGACAACTCCCTAAAACGAATAATCCTTCAGACTCACACAGCTGAATCAACAGACCTGTGGCAGGAAGATAGAAAAAACAAGGAAGAAAAATCTATTCCCAGTATTAAATCATGTGGGAGAACAGTGGACATAAATAAATACATAATATAAATAATTAAGCCAGAACAAACAAGAAAAGCGTATCTGTCTTTTGACAGAAGACAAGTTTTCCTGCACTTAGACAGGAAAGTCTAATAAAGTCTATTTTATACCAAAGGAAATCCCTACTGCAAATATTGAAAATAACTGTGACAAATTAAATAAAACACTTACACAAGACAAAATCATTGAACTCCAGTAGAAAAAGTACATCTAACACCTACAAAGCCTGAACAGTAACAAACATTTTCACCTTGTAAATACAACCGACAGTGAAGCAATTTGGAAATACAGCACATTTCCTTTTGTAATGTGCCAGAATGTGTATGCAGGTATTTTATGCTGGGGCATTCAAGTGACTAAAAATATTGGTATACAACATTTAAATGGGACATGTAATTGTTTGTGTACCACATGTAAGCAGTATGTCAACCCATCAACCAGTGTTTCTCAAAGGATATAACCAAATTAACACTGATGTGCTTTGGAACATAAGTAAAACTTGCACAATGTGATAATATGTTGTGTATTCCATACACAATAATCTGTAAGAATAATAAGTTTACAAATGCTTTGTTCTTTTCTAATGATCTCCAATTTTTATTTCTTTAAAACAGAAAAAAAACCAATTCCAGGTAAACTGGCTTTAACCTCCTCTTCACATTGTATGCATCTCTAGTTCCAATGAAGTTCTCAAATCTGAACTTGGTTCACCTGCTTTTATTCTGGGTCAGACCTCAACCCAAAACAGCTGAGTTTCCTAGAACCCATCTGGATATGAGCAGAAATCTGCAATTACACCTGTTCTCATAATGCACTTCCACTATAAGAACACAAAATAAAAAATGAGACGATATTAAGATTTGGATGTCATGAAATCTACATTTAAACCATATTCCTGATTTGACTGTGCAGCCAAGCACAACTTAAATATCACCCTCACTTATCTTTATGCCATCTTTACTGAACACATAAAATGGGATGCTAAAAAATTTAACTGTATAGAAAAAAAAAGTAGTTTTTAAATAGAGAAGAAGGTATTGTTCTTTAGAAAGTCTAGTTCTAAAACAAACAGGACAGGGGGATTCAGAGAACAGACATGACCTGGCTCTGCACACCTTCTAGGCTGATGCGACATGAAGCCAGATTCTTCCCAAAGAGAACCTCATCTGCAATAGAACTAATTTTCTTTCAATCACACTACATCCTCATGAGGTTTTATGACTTAGGATCAATTTAGCTTCATTATATAGATACATTGTAACCTCCACATTTTTAAACATATTGAATAAAACAAGAAAATACAGGAAAGTGCTGCTCCGTGAAATCTGAGAATGTTTGCCATTTTCCCAAGCTTCTCATGCTCCACCAGCCTGGGAATTTACCATGCAATACGTATTTCTTGCTCTAATGACACTTCAGTAAGTGCTGTCTAGATCTAGGCTAGAATCAGACTACAAACAATATGACAAAGAAATACCTGAAAAGTATTAGAAAAAAGTGAGGGAGGATGGAAGGACAGAAGGAAGGAAAACAAAGATACATTGATTTCAATCTGCATCCAGG